ATATATATATATATAAGGATAAGAATGAGGTGTCAAGAGGATAAATAGTAAGGTATTTGTATCCGTCCTATCAAATAAAAGTTCATTTTGTACTTGTCTCAAGTCCATGCAAGTATTTGTGAATTTAATGATTTATTTATTTTAAAAGTAAGTTTACCTAGACTTACTCTATTTAATAATTCATATTCTATATCAATTTTAATCACTCAAATGTTAAATTTAAAATTTTTAATGAATATATAAGTTTGCAAATTTAATAAAAAAATAAAAATTAATTGATATTTTGTTTGATTAACTCAAATTAATATATAAAATATTTTTATAATTATTCGTCGGTTTAAATTAAGAGGAAAGAAAACTAAATAAATATAAATAATTAAATAAGACAGTGGAAGTGTGGCCCCATCACCTTTTAGTTTTTCACCCTCTTATTTTAAATATACTCTTACTTTATTAATTATTTTATATGCTTATGATTAAATTAGATAATAAATTATTGAATAGTCAAAGTTAAATTGGTTAGCTATTGATAAGGATGGCAAAAATATCCGCACTCGCGGGTATCTATGAGTAAAATCTGCTATGGATAATAAATGGATAGGCTAATTGGGTACCCGCATATAATGAGAACGGATAATTTTTTACCCGTTTATAAATGGGGTGGGGGCGGGTATGATGATATTCATACTCGCAGGTACCCGTTTAATAATATTTATTAAATATCCTAATTATCCTTGTACCACATAACCCTAAAACTACACTCTCATCTTATTTTCTTTCCATAGAATTGTGTTAGATGTAATTTGATTAATTTTCTAGCTTTGATTGCACCAATAAGATTTATGTATTTTAAGTTGTTTACTTACGTTTGAAATTATGAGATTGAATTATTGTAGCTTTGTGATATGAGACTTTCACTTGTGTAAGATTGATGTATTTTAAGTTATTAATTATCTTGTATTTTTAATTTATTATTATTTCAACAAAATTAACGTTAAATACAAATTCAAAATTAACATTAAATTTTTATTTTTAATATTTCAATGACATTAAATATAAATTTAAAATTATTTGTAATATAATTTTTTTAATTTCTTAAAAATTTTATAAATATCCATGGATATCCATGGGTATTCAAGAAATTCATGGATACCCGCTTAATGAATACCCGCGTGGATATGGAATGGGTATGGGGTCAATTTTTATATAGCGGGACGGGGACATGTTTACTATTACCCGCCCCCATGGGGCCCATTGCCATCCCTAACTATTGATCAAAAAATTGATAATGAAATAATTAATTGAGAAGGGGAGTAAAAAATTAAGTAATTTATTGATGAAAGAGAATTTGCATGTTTCTAGTGGAGTAATTAATTGAGAAGGGGAGTAATGGTTTGTTTCGATTTGAGATGTGATCTAGTGGGGAATGAAAAGAAAAAAGAGGAATTATCAAGGAATTAGAAGGGGAAAAAACATGTGTTTGAAAGAAATAATTTAAATGATTTTGTGAGAAATTGTGATGAAATCTATGTGAATTTAATTTCACTTTCTTATGAGTGGATTTGTATAAAAATCTTCATAACAAAATATTTGTACAAGTATTAAGTCTCAATTATACTTCTTTTTGGATGAGACTTATTGAACAATTTCACTCATCCTCTGAACCATTGCAATATAATTGTTCTCTTTTTGGTTCATTTTGTGCGCAGATATAACTAACCCAAATTTAGCTAACAATACCTTAATACACCTCATTTTTTGTGCTGGTATTGAGCTAGAGACTTGAGGATTGAAGACCCATAGGATTGGAAATCTAAGAAGCTAAGGAGCAGAGAAGAGGTTCTGCGCCGGGCGCAAGATGACCTGCGTCGGGCTTGAGCGAAACAGAGTATCTCACCTCTGGAAGGCATTGCGCCGGGCGTAAAAGGAATTGTGCCGAGCGTGTCCTGAGGCAGATAGTGCTTAAATTCCCTGGAAGGCCTGCGCCGGGCGCGAAGACTTATGCGTCGGGCGCGTAAACCCTAATCTAACTCCCCAAGCTCGTATTTGAAGACATTTTCGGGGCTCTCCTCCTTATTCACACATTGGGCACGTTTTAGGAGCTGTGGAAGGGATTCCCGGAGCTTGGAGCCGTTTGTGTGTGGATCTTTCCTTCGGTTCTTCATTTCTCCATTCATCTCTATTTTGTATTTACCCTCATTGTTTTGAGTGGTTCTACCCACTTTTTGTGGGGTTAGATGTAACAATCCTCACGTTTTCAATGATATATATATATATGTTGTTCATTCATTGTTGTGTTGTTTCTATTCTTAATACTTGCTTTGGATTGATTCTCCTTTGCATGATATAGGTTCCATTAGGTGTTGGAAAATAACCATTGAAACTAACTCTGAAACAAATGCCTAGTTGGAAATGTATCTAGGAATGGAGCTTAGCCCATTAGTAGTCTTAAACCCTAGCTCGTAATGCGGGTGTAGATATTGGGTACTCAAGGAATTGATATTCAATATCCGCACCTAGACTCTTGCTCTAAGGGATTAGGTTTGAGTAAACTTATGGGTTGACTAAGCAATGTATGTAACAAGAGATTAAGGAATCATTAGTCTGACGTTTGGTAAAATCTGACCCCACAATCTCACACAAACCATAATACCATTTCTACCCTTTTCCATACTAAAACCAATATTTCATAGTTTTAACATTCCAGTCATGCTCTTCAATTCACATTCATATGACAAATTACAAGTTGGAATCATTCTTTAGTCACGAATAGTCAATAAATGCTTATGTTACCTTCTAATCCCTGTGGATACAATAATTTTACTACTTGAACGACCGTTATTCTTGCCGTGTTTGAGACCGTTGATAGAATTAAACTGATTTACAATTATAACAAAAGTATTTCAATGAAAAATCTCAACAAGACTGACTACCTTTACACTATTATTTAAATAATTAGTTAGTAATAGATAACAATAGAATTGTCTAGATAATATATTTTTACCTAAAAATCTAACAATATAAAATTAAATTATTTTTTTTCTTCTTCATAATTTCACTCTACAAAATAACCGCAAATTACACTACAATAAAAGGAAATCTAAAAATGAATAATTTGAATAATATAGAAAATTAAAAACATAAATTTTAACTTCTTCGTTATTATTGAGAAAATAAGTAAATATATAAAATGAAAGTGTAATTTAAGTAGTTATAAAAACAAATGAGTATAATTTACACTCAATATAATTTATATCGTAGTACTTTAATGTAAGATTTTTGGGTGACATGATTTAATATCCTCTAACATATCCAAACTACTTGTTTTTGTGAAATGAATGTCACACTCTTATCTTTATTACAATATATAAGTTTAAATTGTGATAAAAACACGAGCAAAATAAAAACCATCTTAATGTTAAATTCACAAGTAAAACAAAAATCATCTTAATCTTTTATATTTTTTCCTTTTTTTTAAGTATATGTGGTTTTATATTTTTCCTCCATTTTTTTTATTTGCTTATATAATAAGATAAGACAAAATAAAAAACATATAATTAATAAAATCATTTAAATTAAATATTTTTAATTTTTAATATAATATCGACTACTAATTCTTTTACATTTATGACATGCGTGTAAAGTGAAAATTTATTTAAATAACATTTCAAATTTCTAAATCGATAGATAGATATAAATGTTTGTTTTAAAAGGGATAAATAAAAAAGAATAGTGAAAGTAGAAAAATGCTAACACTTTATTTGGCGAGCTTAAATTATATGAAATGAAGAGAAGAGAAGAAATTGGGTAATTAAAAAAAACATTGTGTTTGAAAGTGAGAATTTAATGAGATATAATGATATTATAGTGTGGACCGTAATTCACTTTGCTAGTATTATAATTCATCATGGTGACATATGAAGTGTGTATAAAAGGTCATTGTAATCCATTATGATGAGATCATAAACCATAATTATGTGACATACTAGAAGGTTTGTGATGTGTTGTAAAGTTACATAATATAACGCAGTAAGTTTTTTTTTTTTTTAAATATGGGTGATTTAGTATCTTAGAACGGGTCGTTTCCAATTTGGAACGGACCATTCCAACTACTAAATTCACCTGAAAATCGTAGTTGAGAACGGGCCATTTTGGAGGGAGAATGGGCCGTTCCAAACCCCAAAACGGGTCGTTCTGCATGTGATTTTTGCACATGGTGAAGGGTGCAGAACGGGCTATTCCGGATTCGGAACAGGCCATTCTGGCCACTCCGGAACTTCTATAAATAGGGGTTGGTGGTTGAGGAGAAAGTGAAGTTTTTAGAAAAAAATTTTAGAGAGAAGGACTCTGGGTCTGTGAGCTCCTTTCTCTCCCAAATTTCTCTGTATGATTCATTTTCTCCTTTAAATCACTAATGTCTTCTGTCTTTTCTTGAAATTTAGATTAGGAAGTCTGCTTTAGGAGGATTGAAGTTTCGGGTTGAGCTTCGGAAGAGAATTCTACTTATTCTCAGTTATTGGCTATTTTGAGTCAATCTTTAGGTGATGGAAGTTATAATGTTTGTTGTTTAGGTTGCATGTGAGTTTAGAAACTCAATTGATGCATGAATGTTGAGAATCCATAGATGGATTGAAGAAAATCTCATTTTTGGGGTTTTGAGAAAAAAGAGCATTTTGATGATTTTGATGCATAGGTTGGATGCATGTGAGATTTAAGTTTATTTTGAGTTGTATGGAGCCTATGCATTGTGTTTTGTGTTTGCATGTGGTTGAATTTGTTAGTTTGGATGAGAGTTTTAAACTCTCTGACTGGGATTTAGGTTGGGCACAGGTTGAGCGCGCCAAGCGTGGAAGAGCTTAGGGCTCTCGGGTTAGATGTTGGGTCAGGCGTGATTTGGTTGCGTCAGGAGTGGAGACTCTTAGGGGTCTCTGTCTCAAGGACACCGAGCGTGAGTTGAACGCACCGGGTGTGAATGGATTTTAGGACTCTCAGGTTAGGATTAGACTAGGCAAGCTCAGGCTGTGTCAGGCGTGAACATGTTTATGAATAAAATGATGCTAATGCATGTTAAGTTGAAGTTTTGGATCGTGTATGTATGATATATGATGTATGTTGAGGTGCGATTCATATGTATGCATAATGATGATATATATGAATGTTTAAGTATGATATGGCATGAGTATATGTTCATATGTGTATGATTATTGATCATAATGACAGGTAGACCATGTATGATGTATGATGCATTATTGCATGTGATGTCTTATGACATGTGTATGATTTTTTATCATGATGGTGGGCAGACCATGTATGATGTATGATGCATAATTGCATATGATGCCTTATGGCATGAGTTTAGCCTAGGACTTGAGGAGAGGAAAAATATTTTTGAACTGGAAGAGCTCACATAGTCTTTTGAGAGTGGTGCTTGGATAGACCACTGATATATGAGAGTGGTGCTCAGGTAGGCCACTAGATTTGGGAGTGGTGCTTAGGTAGGCCACTGGGGTTGGGTGAGTCTCCTCTAAGTCCTTAGTTAGTGTTGGAGCGGGGTATGAGGTCGAGGGTTATTCCCTTAACCAAGTACTCGGGAAGGTGCATGGATCATTGCGGAAAGTTGGTGGGCGAACTCCACAATTGACTTGGTTATGCATGCCAAGGTCGTGGTAAGCCCGTACCTAGTTGTGTTATACCTGACGGTGGATCTGGACTTCCAATTGTGTAAGTGACATAATCCAAGTAAACCCGAGTGAGGATTATATCCTGTTTAGTTGTGATCGAGCGGGTGCATCGGGCGTCAAAACGGTTGGGGTGGTTTCGGTAGTATGGAATGTCACTTATACAACTCTATTGTTATGGAGATCTCCTAGGTGTATGTGTGACGACGCATTAAATGATTGATATGCATTGATATCTGTTATGAGATGCATTTATTGCATGATTATTAATATGATGAAGTGTGGTGTGTGACTTCATGATTGGTGGATTGTATTTTATGCATGAGTAGTATTAGATAGAGTGTATGGTGTGACACTATGAATATGATTGATAATTGGATGATTGTGTAGTATATATTATTGTTCTATACTTGTATGATTGATTTGTGAACTCTAGCTTACCCTTCTTTTATATGTGGTGGGACTGCGATGATCATACTTGGTATGAGAGCAGGTCAGGGCTAGCTTGGAGTTGAGGTGTCCGCTACGAGACGCAGAGTTTTGATCCTCATGTTAGAGTTACCATTTTGGGTAACGGTTTCATATGTGCTTGACCGGCACTAGGGAATATTATTTTTGGGATGATTGTATATATATGATGTTCTATTTTATAACCAGAAACTTAGTTATTTTCAGTCTTATTTATATCTGTATGTATGAGTTATCCAACTTAATATTTTTCTTAGTTCACTAGTAGTAGTGCGATTCCACTAAGTGTAGAGACCATGGTGGGTCGTTACACATAAAACATATTTGGATGCTCATTTAGGATTCACATTCATGCAAAAATCATATTTATTGACAAAGGAGTTACTATGTGTTACGAGCACGATGAATCATGTTTTGGATCTTGTTCCAAACACACTTGTTACGCAATTGACATATTCGCTTATGTGATATCATGATATAATATCTCCAATATGTAGCAAAGTCTTATAATCAGTTATACAATTAGCACAATCAGTCATGTGTTCACCCTAAAAACCTTCATTACAATATAACTAACATATTATGTGAACTAGTATAATTAATTAATTATACTATTTAGTTATATTGTAAAAAAAATCTTTATATATACAGCAAAAACACATATAAGAGATAAAATGTTATTTGTTTACTCTCTTTTTTTCTTCATGAATCTTTAACTACATAACATAATATATATATATATATATATATATATATATATATAA